GCCTTCATGCCTGAGCAATGCTCTTGTATTCTTCCCTAGTTATTTGTTCACATTTCCACTTTTTATAAGCTTCCTTTTTATGATTTAGTTTACTGAAGAGTTCCCTGCTAAGGCAAGCTGGTGTTCTGCCATACTTGCTAGTCTTCCTGCACATCTGGATGGCTTCTTCCTGCACTCTCAGTAAGGCTTCTTTAAAGTATAGCCAGCTCTCCTGGACTCTTCTCCCCCTCAGACTGGCTTTCTAGGGGATCCTGCCCATGAGTTCCCTGAGTGAGTCGAAGTCTGCTTTTCTGAAGTCCAGGGTCCTTACTCTGCTGTTCTCTATCCTTTTTTCCCCTCAAGATCCTGAACTCAATCATTGCGTGATCACTGCTGCCCAAGTTGCCATCCACTACTACATTCCCCAACCAATTCTTCCCAGTTTGTGAGGAGCAGGTCAAGAACAGTACAGCCCCTAGTTGGTTGCTCCAGCACTTGCACCAGGAAGTTGTCTCCAACACTCACCAAAAACTTCCTGGATTGCCTGCACACTGCTGTATTGCCCTCCCAGCAGATATCAGGGTGATTTGAAGTCCCCCATGAGAACCAGGGCCTGTGATTGGGGAAACTTCCACCAGCTGTTTGAAGAAAGCCTCATCCACTACTTCCTTCTGGTCTGCTGGTGTATAGCAGACCCCCCACCATGGCATTACCTTCTGTTGCTCTCACCAATAACCTTAAGCTAGAGACTCTCAACAGTCCAATCTCCAGGTCCATACTGGAGCTCTGAGCAATCATATGGCTCTGTCACATCAAGTGCAACTCCTCATCTCCCCTGCCTGTCCTTCCTGAACAGTCTGTATCCATCCATGACAGTGGTCCAGTCATGCGAGCTCCCTCCAAGTCTCTGTTATTCTAGTTGTGTCATAGTTTTGTGACTGCAAGGACTTCTGCTTGTTTTCCAGGCTCTATGCATTTGTGTACAGCAGGGTCAGGCAATTATTTCAGCCGGAGGGCCACTTACCCACGTTTGGCAAGCTGTCGAGGGCCACGGGGTGGCCCCACCCCTTGACAGGTGTCCCACCCCTTGGTCACCGTCTTGGGACCAATGTCTTGGGGCCAGCACTAGTGAGGCCCAAAGCGGGGCGCAGGCTGGTAGGGGTCTGTGGAGCCAGGCTGGGCTGCACCAGCAGGGAGAGGGGGGAGCTGGCCCAACTCCATAGAGCCCCTGCCGACCAGGACCTCATACTCCTGCCACCCTGCTCTGGCCCCCACTGGCACTGACCCCAGGACACCGCTGTGGGCCCCGTGCACCCACTCACTCCCAGTGCCCCCCAACCCCGTGGTACAGGCTGGGGGCAGTGTGTAGCCCCGACCCCCTGCTCCCCGGCAGAGAACGAGCTGGTGCTGAGTGCAGAGGAAAATCGGCCCCTTCCCCACCCCATGGCTGGTGCTCCCTGTTGCAGCTCCTTGCAGCCCGCGCAGGGCTGTCCTGGGCAGGCACAGGCAGCCCCATGTGGGCTGCGAGCGGCTATAGTGTGGGGTGCCGGTCACGGGGCGGGTGAGGGCCCGCTTTTCCCTGCGCTCGATACCAGCTTGTCATCTACCCTTGCTGCCAGCCTGGGCCCTGCACTGGCTCCAGACTCGCCTGTTGGGGCTGCTCCGCAACGGGAGCAGCTGTGGCCCCCCTGCGAGCCATGCCAGGCAATGTTTGCCACTGTCATCTTTGTGCTGCCCAGCACATGAGCTCCAGGCAGGCAGCAGCAGCAAATACTGCCTGGCATGGCAAGTTGGGGAGGCACCGCTGCTGCTACCCCGGACAGCCCCGACAAGGCAGG